AGGCGCTTATCCCACTGAGCTATGTCCCTGGCTCTATATCTTTTATTTTGGAGGAACTATTTTTTGAGTTTTTTATGTATTCTAGACATTAGTCATAATTATGTGGAAAACTTGGCAAAATATTTTTCCATTCTGTAGGTTGTCTCTTCATGCTTTTGGTTGTTTCCTTTGTTATGCAGAAGCATTTTAATTTGATATTTTTCCATTTGTTGATTCTTGTTGCTTTTTTTCTGTGGAGTCAGGTTCTGTGCAGAAAGTCCTTACCTATGCCTGTGACTTTAAGAGTTTTGTCTATTTTACTTCCAACAGATTGTTTTAACATTTAGCTTTTTGATCTATTTTGATTTTAATTTAGTACATGATGAGATATATGGGTCTAGACTTATTCTTCTGCTAATAGATACCCAGTTTTTCTAGGACCATTTGTTAAAGATGCCATATTTCTTCCAATGTATGTTTTTGAACCCTTTGTCAAAGATTAAATAGTTGAATATGTTTGGGATCATTAGAGTTACAGTTAGGATTAGGGTTTCTGCTGCTTCTTTTGTGCCAGTACCATGCTGTTTTAATCACAGCTTTATAAATATAACAAGTCCAGAATTATGATCTCTCCCACTTTCCTATGGTTACCCAAGACTGCTTTTGTTATTCTGGTCTCATCTGGTTGATTGTGAATTGTAGGATTAATTTTTTAACTATTCTGTGAAGATTGCTGTTGGTATTTTTATTGGGCGTGGATTAAATCTGCATAACAGATGTGTAGCCATTTAGACTACATCCAGGAACAGAGGACAGCTTTCCATGTTCTGATGTTATGTTTAAAACTCTCCTTTTTTAGAGTGCTGTAATTTTCACTATAGAGCTTTTTAAGTTCCTTGGATAAGTTGATTTCTAAGTATTTTATTTTTTTTCTTGATGATATTCTAAACAATATTGTTTCTCTAATTCTCTGTTTTTGAGTTTATTATTGGTGTATAGGAATGCTGTTAATTTTGAGTATTGACTTTGTATCTTGTTATGCTAAATAACATGGCTATTAATTCTAGGAGTCTGTTAGTGAAGTTTTGGGATCCTCTATGTACATAAAGGATCATATCATTTGCAAATAATGATAATTTATTTTCCTATACATATCCCTTTCATTTGTTCTTCTTGTGTAATTGCTCTGGCTAATGTTTTGAGAAGTATATTGAACAAGAGTAATGATAGTGGACATCCTTGTCTTATTCCTGAGTTTAGCTTCTCTCCATTTAGTGTAATGTTGGCCATTGGTTTGTATAGACATAGACAACTTTTATCAGGCTGAAATAAACACCTTCTCTTCCTGTTTTCTTCAGGGTCTTTATCATGAATGGATTTTTCTTTGCTCAGATGCTTTTTCTGCATCTAATGAGATCGTGTGCTTTTTGTCATTGGTTCTATATGGTGAATTACATTTATTGATTTGTATATGTTTGTGTTGTTGACCTGCATCCCTGGAATGAATTCTACTTGATCATGACGTGTGAACTTTTTGCTATATTCTGTTAGCCACTATCTTATTGAGGATTTTTGCATCTGTTCATTAAGTAGATTGGCGTATAGTTGTCTTTTTAGGTTGAATTGTTTTCTGGTTTTGGAGTGACTTTGAGAGTACTGCTACCCTTTCAATTTCATTGAAGTGCTTGAGGAGTACTGACATTAATCTTCTCCAAAGTTCTTATAGAATTTGGCAGTGAATACATTGGGACTTGGGGTTTTCTTAGTTGGTAGTTTTTTATTATTGTTGATACTTATTCAACCCTTCTCTGGAATAGTGTGCAACCAAGCACTCTCTCCAGAGGTTATGGAGGGTGCTTGGACTGGAGTCACTCACTAACTGTTGGCTTTTGAACACCCTGTGAGATAGCAAAATCCCCTACTTTTCTTGCAGCTCACAGTACCTACTGGTTCAGCTCACAGTACCTACTGTGCTTCCTCCCTGAATCCTTCTGGAGTCTCCAGCTTTCTCTTTGCCTCTGTAGATTAGATCTCCCTTTGCCACAAGCTACAAGATGGGAGCCAGGAAGAACTGTAGATTGATCCTTGTCTTCTCCACAGTCTTGTCAACAAAAACAGTGCAGGGAACTCAGCTCTCAGTAGGGAATTCAGCTCGGCTTCAGAGACTCTATCATCAGCATACAGAGGAAAGGAAATAGAATAGGATAAGAAATATTAGAAGTCCTGAGGACATCTGGAGACATGCAAAAATTTACACAGGACACTTTATTTTTTATTTTTTGTATTTTAGGGAGGGATCTATAGGGTGTTCAGGGTCTCACTACTAGATTGGACTCATAGTGATCTGCCTGTTTACAGCCTCACAAGAACTGGGATTACAGGCATGTGCCACAATGCCTAGTCTCAATTGCATCTCAGCACACCCCAGGGGCAGGGCTGGCATGGCAGGCCCAGGGATTGAACAGCCATACAGGCGCTTTATAATTTTATTTGGAAACAAATAGTAATGAGACAGTTTCAAAACTGATTAGTAGGACAGTTTCAATAATTAGTACATTGCATATTGTTGTCTTAGTGTGTATCCATTGTACAAGATGTAGACATGATATCCTGTCCACAGACACTATTAGAACAAATCTTCCTATTCATTGAATTAAGAGAATGTAGCTGTATATCTATTGTAACTATTTTGAATATAGGGATACAAAATGGTTGTTCATTTGTATCCCCTTTTTTTGTTTAGTTTTGTCAGAGAGGGGTATTCCGTTGTCATTTGAATATGATAGGTACGTGAATTCAGCAAAATATTGCAATATAGTCCAGTAGTCCAGAATAGTAGTGGGTTTCCCGTAAGACTGGCAATGTCAGAAGTTGTTGACTTGAGCCTTTTATAGCTCAGCATATTAATATGGCTTTACTTTTTATACTTCATTTTTATACTTTTCTTATGGATGGTTAAGACCAAGATGAAGCAAGACCTATATATCAAGAAATTGTAGCTCTTGAATATGATACAGTTAGTCAGATCCCCTCAGGATTTATCTTGAAACCCTGTACTGCAGTTTGTAGATCCTTTGTCAGTGTCAGCCATGTGGATGAATCATGGCCATTGCTTGACCAATTTGTTCTCTGTGAAAGCCTGAGAGAATGTTTTCTCTCCTTGTGACCCTCCTTAGGCACAGTCTACATCATCAATCACTTCCCTCTGTGGTCCCATAATCTCCTTGATTGGAAAATTTGGGAACAACTGAGTTACAGGATGTTACAGTACAGGCTCTCCTATGTCCTGAGTCCTCACTGATCTTGAAAGTCTTAAGCTCAGCTGCCTGTGTTGTAGGGTGATAACAATAAACTTCTCTTCTGGAGGGTTAACAACCTAAGTTTGCAGACCAAATATTAGAGAAAAAGAAGGGCTGCAAGGACAGCCGGCTGATACTTTAAAGGACTCTGAAGTGAGTAGACTTTGCCCACTGAGATGCAGGATGGCCAGAAAGTTTGAACCACAGATGTTCATTGGGATATTCTTTCCTTATGTCCCCTGCCTTCTCTCCATCCCTATAAGAGAAACGCTTCTCTTTGTTCAGGGTAGATGGTGTTACGGCACTCTTACCGAAACCCAGGCACGATAAATTCCATGCCTTGTTGCCGTTACACAAACCTGGTGGTCTCTGCTATTTTCCTGCCTCCTCCCCATGTGCTGCAGTTGTGTTCTGTCTCCTATTTCTCTGTAGTTTTTAATTTTCCTGTCAGATCCTTCCTGGTGCATGGAGATCTATTTCTCTGTCTTTTTTTCCTATTCCCAGGTTGCTGTTTTCTAGTATCTGGATTCTGAAGCCTGGATAATCTTGAGTTGTTACTCATCACTCCACCATTTTCCAGGAAGTCCTCTCCATCAATTTTGAAATTCAGTTTTGCAGGATAAAGCAATTTGAGTTTGAAGTTGTTTCCTTTTAGGGTTTGAAACACTTCAAGTACTTCTAGTCTTTAAGGTTTATGAAGTGTGCTATAATTCTAATGTGTTTACCTTAATAAATGATATGTTGCTTTTCTCTAAAAGCTTTTCAGATTTCTGTCCTTGTGTTAGGTTTCTGGGATTTCAACTATGATGTGTTATGGAGAGGATCTTTTCTGATCATAACTGTTTTCTATTATGACTTGTTCTATATGTCATAATATAATTAAATGTATGTTAAAATTTTTTCCCATATTTGGAAAATTGAAAATTAAATGGATCAAAAATAAAACTATTAATCAACCCCTGGTCCCGAGCCAGCAACAGAGTCCAGGCGTGGTGGCATACGCCTATAATCCCTGCACTGGGGAGGCTGAAAATAGGAGAATCACTATGAATCCAAGCTGTATAATGAGACCCTGTACCAAATACATAAAAAATGAAAAAAGAAATATATATAACTATGAAATCATAAAGTGCTGGAAGATAGAATAGTTAAAATTCTTGAAGACAGGTGTAGGGAAAGACATAGATGTAGGTAAAGACTAAGAACAAAATCCTCTACACAAGACCTTAAAGTCATGTCAGTTCTCCAGCTTCAGCCTCCTGAGTGCTGAGTTTACAGCCATGTACCACCATGTTGATACTGTTATTTTCTAACATGTTAATTATATACTTTATGATGTAATATGAAGACTATATGAATTTTTTGCTGTATTTTCTTGTCCAAAAAAAAAAATGGACTAGTACATCCTATTTATAATATTTCATCATCAAGGGGCTGGAGAGATGGCTCAGTGGAATAAGTGCTTGCCTGGCAGGCACGAGGGCCTGAGTTCAGTCCGATTCCACAAAAAAAAAAAAAAAAAAAACCCATAATATTTCATCAAAAGTTAAAAGATTATGCTTTGAATCCACTAGGAGTGTGATTCTGTAACTTGTTAATTTCTGTGCATCTTTAACTTATGTACTCTTTTCTTAAAAATGATAAACTTTCAGTACTTATGTTTTGTAGACTTTTAAGTCTAATTCAGTGATCTTACTCATTTTTTATATTGGTTCTTTGCAGAGATTTCTGGAAAGATGGTAGAGTGGTAAGTCACAGAAAATCACCTAAGATTTGGAGTCCAAGTTCTGGAAAATACCAACCTGGAGAAGAAATGAAGGAGAAGGAGGATTCCTGAGACTCAGAAAGAATCTGAAGGGAAAGTTGGAACCCATAGAGAAAGTGAAAAGACGGGTCTCAGTGATGAAGAAAAGCAGAGAGTAACTGCAAGTTTTACCTGGCTCTTGGCTTTTCACATGAGAGAGGAGGATCAAATCTGCAGAGACACAGTGAGGACAGGTATTTGCAAAGTCCTCCAGGGAAAAACGCAAGATGGAATGAAGTAGTGGATATTGGGCACTACAATAGCTGGCAAGTGACTCCAGCCCAAGCAATTTCCGTGTCCCCTGGACAGGGTGCTTGGTCGAGTGCTGTGTTAGGGAGAGGTAAACTGAACCAGGACCCAGAGCATCTGTGAATTGGCTTCATCTCAGGGCTACCAGTGTTGAAAATTTACAGTGACTAGGTGAGGGACAAATATGCAAGATGTATAGGGTCAGGAAGAGGGTGGTCAGGTCAGCAAGACGCCCAAAGTGTTGTAGACTGAATGAAGACCCAGCCCCATGACCAGAGGCCAAGCTCAGTCTGAACTTCAGTGGATTTGAAGTTTGCTGGATTATCTAGTGTGCATCTGGGCTCTGATTGTCTCATTTCTCTACCAGCAATAAAGTCACTGCCTAAATTGGACACTACTACAAAACTGTAGACCCTGGATAACCTGGAGCTTGACATTACAAAAAGTTTTCTTTTTTTTTTTCTTTATTATTTGGTTGGTTGATTTTTCTTGACTGTTTTGGTTATTTGTTTCATGAGTATGAGCATTCTTTTTAGTTTTGTTTGTTCTTGTTTTTGTTTTTTTTTCTTTCCGTTCTGTCTTCACCAGTTTCTTGAGACTTGAGTTAACTGTCCTTCAGTTTGGCTTCTAATTTCTTCATTTTCTTTTGTTTACCTGTTTTTTACTCCAATTCTTTAAAAAAAATTCCTCCCTTTAGGGTAAAATTCATCTATTGGGTGGATATTTATAGTATATAATTGTCTGATTGTCTAAAATCTTATGTAAGTATACATCTTGTTATATAAATATAAATTGCGCATCTATGGCTAAAATTGGCAAATTAACATTAACACAGTGTTATTTTTTAGTCTATGCTTCATAATGTTATCACTGATTGTACTACTTTAGCCAAAGTAGCATAGTTATCAATTGATCTTCCTTGTATGCCAATACCTGTCTGGGAGTCATAAACAATACTATAATCCACTACCAAAGAACTAGATGCAAGACCAAATAGGCAGCAAGCCTTCATGCCTAATAAATTAGGCTAGACTCAAAAGTCAAAGCCAGGTATATGTAGAATACATTTCTGAAAAGTAGTAATTTCCTAAAGAAGTCTCTGTATTAGTAATAAAGCTACCTACCATAAGCAATTTACAAGTCTCATTGTAGAAAATGAAAATTTAAAAAATGAGAAAACACAAAAGCAAGATTTATTGGGAACTAGGCTATGTAACTCAGGTTGATATAGGAAAGAAAACTAAACCAGCGCCATTTTGTGTTCTAGTTCCATTTTAAAGCTTGTTTCTGTTCCCTTAAGTTTGATATTTCCTTTTTTTTTTTTTTTTTTTTAATATATTTAGTCAGGGTCTCACTACACAGATCAGACTTGTAGCGATTCTACTGTTTTCAGCTTCCCAAGCGCTGGGATTACAAGTGCGCGCCTCCACACCTAGTCTCAATCACTGAGAGCAGAGCTAGCAGGGCATGTGGGGGATCGCATTCTGGTCCCTGCATCTGCTTAAGTAGGCACTTTAATCAGCTGAGCTATCTGGCCAGCATTTAAGTTTGCTTCTTGTAAATGTTGTCATAGTTACTTTTTTTATTATTAATTTTATTGAGAAACAAATAGTAATAGGACAGTTTCAAAACCAATTAATAGGACAGTCTCGATAATTAATACATTGCATATTGTCTTCGTAGTGATTATTCGTAGTATAAGATGCAGACATGATATCCTGTCCAAACACTATTAGTACAAATCTTTCTTCTCATTGAATTAAGAGAAAGTAGCTGTGTATCTATCCTATTTTGTATATACAGATACAAAAAATCACCCCCTACTTTGTCATAAGACTGCTTGTTCCCTATGTAAAATGTTAAACATTTTCTTCCTTTGTCACAAGCTAGCCCCATGCATTGTAGTATTAGTGTAGTTGCACTAAATCATTTCAGCACCACCTCCCAGACCTGGAGCTAGGCCTGGAACTAGTATGGTATAACTGTTCTTGCCTCCTGCCCTTTTGGTGGGTGCTTGCTCATGTACTGGTGCCCACTGCCAGCCCCCAATAAACTTGGTTGTCTCTGCATCTGGCCTCCGTGGGTGACTCAAATAAGCACATTTGCCACAGCAAGGTCTCACAGTCTCAAGATTGGTGTTATCTTACCTCAGGAACAGGGAAGTATGTGGAAGGCTGCATGCCTCCTGCCTATGAGTGGCATGCTGATAACGCAGCTGTCCTAAAGCAACATAGCATCTGTTGAAGACAGTTGTCACAACAGGTATCTGGGTATAGGAAAAACCTGGTTCCTCTAACTTATTCCTTATACATCCAGTCTCTGTAGTGGCTACTCTATGAATTGCATGATGCCCTCCTCCTGCACTTCTTAACGGCTAATAAAAGTGGATCAGTTCCACTACAGACAGGTCTCCTGGGCCCCTTATACTTCGAAAATTGTCTTTTGTCTTTATTCTCTGTTATTCCACAGCAGGTAGTTGAGGGTCTAATCAGCCCTCAGTAAAGAGGCAACCCATAACTAGCAACTTTCCCAAGGCAAATAAAGAGGGTATTGAGGTGAAAGAAATAAAAAAAGTCCCAGCTAAATTTTATGAAATGGTAACAGTAGAAGTGAAAAAACAGGTTAATAAATCTCTTGTCAAAAAACAGATACTTAAAGGGATGATGGCTTTAAAGAAATGATTAGTGAATCTTGAGTAGATGTGGTAAAAAATAGATAAAATTAGGAAAGACATGGAGAGCATGGAGTCCAACATAGAAAAGACTGGATTCCATAAAACAGACTCAAAGAGAAATCTAGGAGATTAAAAATCCTACTGGAAATACATGCTGCAGTCAACCAGTTTGAAGATAGAATATCAGTTCTAGAAAACAGGCTTGTAGCTGATGATCATCAAATGAAAGACTTCTCAGAAAGCCACCATGAAAAATTAATCCAGTAACCGTAGATGATGCAAAGAAGATTCACATGACATTAATTAGAATCAACAAGGAATTAGGGGCCGGGGAGATGGCTCAGTAGAATAAGTAGAATAAGGGCCTGAGTTCAATCCCTGGTTCCGCAAGGGGAAAAAAAAAAAAGCACAAAAAGCTTAAAAACACCTGTTCATAGAAATAATTGCAAACTTTCTAAGCATGCAGAAAACCCTTGGGATCCAGGTAATTGAGGCATCTATAACTCCAAATAGTCATGATCAGAAAAAAGAAACCCTATACCTAGGCATTCAATAGTCAAATTAGGCCCTAAAAGAAAACAACCTCCAAACCAGATTTTGGATTCCACAAAATTTATTTTCAAAATTGATGTTGAAATAGCACATTTCCATGATAAAGAACACCAGAAGAAATTTATGACCACAGAACCACTCCAAAAATTTTGAAGGGTATTCTAGAAAAAAAGAAAATGGCAAACAGTTCCATGAATCCCAGTGGAATGAATCTACCAGGCAATGCAAGATTTTAATCAGGGAAGAAAGGGAACTAAGAACAGGAAAATAACATGACAAAGATAAATCAATGACTATTAGTTATAACCATCAGTGTGGATGGTTTCAGTTCACCAGTAAAGAGAAACATTGGCAGGATTGATCAAGACATGAGATTCAAAAATATGCTGCATACCAAAAGCACATTAGTTCTAAAACAAATTGATTGACAAAGGATGGAAAGCAATACTCCATGTGACAGGAACCCAGAAAAAGCAAGAGTAGCCATTCTCTTTGCATATAAAGTAGATTTTTAAGCCAAGACTGAGCACAGGAGACAAAGAGGGTCATGTTAGGTACAAACCCACACAATCGACCAGACCAGGCATTCTGACACTAGTAGGTTTACGGGGGAAATTAAGCAGGCTCTCTGTTTAGCAGACCAAGACAGCAGTGAATAAAAGGGGGATAAGAGACTTTATAGGATCCTTTATGTAGGGTAATTATGACTGGAACAGCTGAGGGAGAGCTAATGTTGGCGGGGCCACCTGGTCTGTAGGGGACTTCTAATGTTAACGAAGGAGAGTTCCATGGTTGCCCAGGTCAAAGTCAGGTGGACCTGTTCTGCGGTTTTGGGTTTAGCTCTGTGTGGGGCCAAGGGGGAGAGAGTTTGGGAGCAGGGTGCCTGGGAGACCATGAGGAAGAGTGTTTGGGGCAGGGTGCCTGGGAAACTTTGAATCCTGACCTCTCAGGTCACTGCTTATTTGTTAAGAGAATAATCCAAGAGGAAGAGACAAAAATAAAAATATAGGAACCAAATACTGGCACACCCAACTACATGAAACAAACACTAGTGGATATGAAAAATCAAGGACTAATACAGTTTTAACGTGGGACCTTGATATCCCACTGTCACGAATAGAATCACCTAGACAAAAAAAATCTAAAAAGGGCTGGGAGATAGCTTGGCAGTCAAAGCACCTGTCTGGCAAGTCCAAGTGCATATTCCAAGTTCAGTCCCTGGCACCACAAGCTGTGCCAGCCCCAAAACGGTATGATGGTGCACGCCTGTAATCCCAGCCCCAGGGAGGCTGATGCAGGAGGATCACTATGAATCCAAACTACGTAGTGAAACCCTGTACCAAATATTTTTTTTAAAATCAAAATAACAGAGTTGAACAAAACTTTGAGCAAATGGACTTAGTAAATGTCTATGAGGTGTTCCACTCTACAACAGTTACGTGCTCTTCTCAGTCCATGGGACTCATTGGGGACCACAAATTAACAATGGCTAATTTTGCATTCTTTAAGAGATAAATAGATGCTTGGGATTATCATTATCACCCTTTTGATATTTCCTATTAACTCTTTTGGGATGGGCCATCCTCTCCTACCCACTAAGATGAAGACCATTAAGATTAAAAATACTCCAGAACAAGACCTTTCTTAGCATTAGGTCACCTCTTGAGTTGTCCCAAGATTATCCATTGTCCATCAAGTAACATTGAATCTTCTGCTAACCCCTCTTATCATCATATACACACAATAAATAGTGATTGGCTTGGAGTGTCTTTGTCTCTGCCCATCCTGAGGCATTGAACTCCCAGCTCCCCTTCATGTATATTACTAAATTTGTCTCTTTTTCTTATTTTACCCTTTCGCCATACCCCTCATACAGCAGTTGGGGATCTTGGCCAGGTCCCAGATAACTTGTGTATTGTGTCTGGATGTCCCCCAAAGCCTCATGCAGTCATGGAGGGCAGGCTTTTCAAAAGCATCTTGTTAAACCTGGAGCTCCTGTCTTCATGCCCTCACCTCAGGAAACGGTTACGGCATTTCCAGTTTGAATCAGCAGGGTGCGAGGGTCCTCAGTTTGTAAACATCCTCCAGCAAGAGGAGGGCATTGGGATGTTGTGTGTGGTACACCTGCCCTAGGGTTTATAGCCTGCATGCAATATAAAGGAGGAAAAGAGGATTGCTACTCCCCTTTTGCTCCTGTTGCTTTTGCTGTCTTCTGCCACCATGAATGATTGCTCTTCAGCCATGCCACTCTCCCTTGGAGCCAGCTGATTATGGACAAACCTC